CAACATTAACAGCCTTCTCTTGCACTAAGCCCTTGTTGTAGGTCACTCCTTTGCTTTTTACATAATCCTCCACCTAGGCAAAGGTGCGCTCTTCACTTCGGAGGCGTAGTTCCAAGCGGACTTACCAGGCTCTTGAAGGCTTGCATATGTGAGTCATTCATCGATGGATCGTACTTTCGATTGCTGACCGCGGTTATTTCAATACGTTCAACTTCACGTTTTTTTCTTCCAGTTCCAGTGGAATTAGTAGCATTAGGAGACTGTGTTGCTCTAGTGGGAGGTCGCACTCTAGGAGTAGTAATCGGTGGTGGTGGTGGTGGTGGTGGGCACGCCTATATCACGATATCCATGGCCTAAGAAGTGGAACTTATTCTTTCTGATTGTACCTACCATTAGAGCGCCGAAAAGTGCAGAGCTGAGAAGGATGAGAAGAATTGCCATTTTGACGATGCACAATACACAGATTGCCCGCATGCTCTTTTATACGGATTGCAAACAAAGAACATAGGGAGGTTCCATGGCATAATCGAAAATTATATTAGTTTCAGATGATTGTTCAGTGGGTAAACCTTCAGCTTTTGTAACTTTGCCCCAAATTAAGTTAATGGGATCGTCAAATACGAAAATCAGCCATAATAATCTTTGCCTAAAATTGCTCAATCGATTCCATTCAATGGCAGCAATGCTACTCCTAAATTGTTTATCTTAGGATCTCAGGCTGCCATACTGTACTCGTGAGTAACTAAAAATTCTTCAAAACGCTTCGGAGTGATCAAAAGCATGTAAATTTCAGGTATGCGCATTACTCATGCAACGTTACTTGAATTATTGGTGCAAGTTGAGCTTTTCTATCAGAGCGTTCACTTTTGGCATCAATTTGTCGCAATCCGCAGCAAAATACAGTGTTAGTTATCAAACGCACTAAAAAAGACACATTTGAAACAAAGGTTTTATCTAGTATTTCGACGATACGATTTTTCTAATATACTGTCGTGTATTTGAATCACTTCAATAATCGCGAGAAATCGAAGACTTGGAAAAAAAAAA